ATAATTTGGAAGAACTTGTGCATTACATGCATACGAAGCCAATAATATATTTTACGAAAAATGTATGCCAAAACAAAGTGTATGCATTAACTTCAGAAATATTGCTCCATGTACCCTTGCAAACGAAATCATTTAGTAATTACCATCGCACATATGCTAAGAACTGTGTGCTTTGGCTAATAAAGCAAACATTAAAACAACAACTACCAAATGCATGTTCCGTTCTTTCATGCCTATATGGAAGTAATATTAACAAATCTATTGTATTTGTTGACTATAGCAAATTGTCGTAAACCTGGAGACTGTGCACTTAGCAAAGAAAATAAGAAGGATTTTACTATATATGTCCTATGTTAAAGTTAAAGTTCCATTATAAATATTATTAAACTAAATTTATTACGATGTTTGCAATACAATTGAAAACTTTTATTATTCTAGTGCTGCTAACCAGATGAGAATTGTAATTTTTAAATACTCTATATACGTATAAAATAATGATAAAAAGAAGCTACATTGAAACTCTTCAGATATATTTAAAATTTAGGAAACTATTTAATATTGCAGATTAGTGATCGGTAGTGCTTTTTCAGTTATTGCATTTTACTAAAAGTACCTTTTGTTTTGGTTTTCTCGTTTCTGTGCTACGTGCTGCTTTGTGGCATATTTTATTATTTTTTGTTGGTGCTGACTTGTGCCAAATTTTTTATTTTTTTATTGGTGCTGTTTTGTGTCACATTTTTTGTTTTCTGTTGGTGTTGTTTTGAGCGGGTTTTATTTAGTTATTTTTTCTTTTTTTTCATTATAAATAATTATATATTTCACATAATTATTATAGACTATATATTAAATAACTACCTGTATCTTGTTTAGTTAGCAACGAATGTAGTCATGGAACTCCCATCCGCACCTTTGCTTCAAAAAAACAACCCAATCTAGCTCCAAAGAACGACTTAGGCTAGATGAGGCCAAAGTTGGCGAACAAGCCAAAACCAATAAAGTTCTGAGAGCAGACAACTCCCGGCTTCTTCTTCGAAGTGCATTGTCCACTTCGAACGTTTATACTTTTGTTTTATCGACAGCGATCTTAAACTTTTACAAAACCATTGTCTTAGATGCTTAAGCCGCGATGGTGCCAATATTCGTTAAGTTGACATCTTATGTATATATTTATCTACTCTTTTTATGCTTGAACCATTTATAGTAAATCTCGTCCCTTTTGCTTATTATCATATATTGTATTTTATTACAACTTAATTTTAGTCCATATTTATTAAATTTTCTTATAATATCGTTTAATAGATTTTGTAATCTCTCTAAAGAATCCATTAACCATAACTCCGTTTATTCCATCAAATAGAGTTTTATTAAATATCGTTTCGGAATAAATATTAAATAGCAAGGGTAACAAAATGCATCCTTGTCGAACAATGCGTTTTATTTGTAGTTTCTCTGTGAAGCAGTTTTGCACGTTGGTTCCAGTACAAATTTGCAATTATTCGAATATCACTTTCGGCTAATTGACATTGCCATCTATATTAGTTTTTCATGTTGAACTGTATCGAAGGCTTTTCAAAATCAATAAAACAGAAAAATATGTCTTTGCTATAGTCTCTACTTCTTTCAACCAGGACTCTAATTCCGTACAACGCTTCTCGTGTCCTCAGTCCTTTCCGAAATCCAAATCGTAAATAATTACTACTAACGGAATATAAATTTTGCGGTTCAAACAATTAGTAAATTTGATATATATTTGACTATATATTATTTTATTTAAGTATATATTTAAAATAATTATTGAAAAAGACAAAAACATTTTTTGATATACATAAAAATTTAAAAATTTTCGAATAATTCAAATTTTATTGAAATTTTTAAAATTCAAAACAAAATATACAACAAAACAAATCTTGTCAAAGGTGAATGCCATCCAATGAATTTGGAAGATATATTTATGGTGCACATGGAAGTAGTAAAGCAGTGCAAATATTTACACAATTTGCATATTAATCCATTTTATATTGTATGTATAACACTATTTGCATTATTATCTTGATGTCTGATCCACAAAAGTTCAATGTCATTCAATAAAAAAACAAACACAAAGAGCATCAAATTTAAAAATGTATTAAAATAAAATTATTAATAGTAAAAATTATAACAAAATAAAAAATTACAATAATAAACTTACATTGAGGCAAATTAACACCTTCCGCACATTTGGAAAAGAAATATTTTGCGAAATTTTATTTAAAAAAAAATACAAATAATTAGAAATGATTATATTATTATACAATCAATTGCCATAATAAAGTAGATCTATAAAACACTGTTTTCGGGTACCCATAAAAAGAGGTTCCCTGGTGGGTGCAAGCCACCAATTTACTGTTTGGTTAATGAAATAATTTGTTGGACGATTTATTGGCTGCGATATGCGTTGTGCGGGTGTTAATGTGAGATTATTTAAAAAAATATTTTTTTAAGTATATAGTTTATTTTAAATATTATAAAATATTTTTTTTATATTTTGATTTATGTTTTACCATGGGATTTATTTTGTGAATTAAATCTTAGCAAAAGGGAAGTACGTTGCGATTGTTTTTAAAAAATATTAGCAGAAAATTATGAACGCGAAAATATTCATTATGAATGAGAATTGAAAGTAAAGTTTGTGGGTTAAGTCTTTTGTTTCAAGAAGATAAATATTTTTAAAGCTGTGCTTTTTCTAAGAATTTATTAAATAATATATAATAGATGAGTTAATAAAGTTTACTTTAATAATTAGCATGAAAATATGTATTATATCTTTTATATTACAGTAGTTTTGTTATTCGTTGGTTTCTTTATAACAAAAGGTAATTTAAAAAAAAATTAGTAGTTGGCATAGGATATGAAGGTTTTCTGAAGATTGCATACTATTTACACAGATAAAAGGCGAAGAGGTATAAAAGAAAAAGGTTGCATTTGAATTTAACTGTCTGAATTGACAAAAAGTCTCAATTTGGGATGTTTATACATTTAGCAATGTAAATAGATAAAGATTGATTAATCCATTCATATTGTTACTAAGCGTAATATTTAATATCAAGTATGTTTAGTCCATAACATTTCTTAATTTGATTTTCTTTTTTAAAAATTATTAAATATTTCAATTTATAAAGTGTTTTTATGAGATAAGTTATAACTCTATTATTCTCCAATTTGCAGATATTGTAATAAATATCAAATTTCCAATCAAATCGCAACTGGTTAGCATGTGCTAGTGGTGGCACATGTACCTTAACATTAAACTCCAAATTCTCAATTTTTCATGGCATGCCGCTTAACCGGTGGCAACCGTTTTAATCGCACGACAAGAACTGACAAGATTGGAGACAAGTGACCTCAGTGGCCGCGCTCAGAAATTGTCTGCACATAAATGCTTCTCATCCATCTGGTTACAATTTAAAGTTGCTGAGTTATATGCTTTTTGGATTTTTTTGAATGTGATTCCACCAGTTTTCATCTTTGTTTAATGGCAAATGGGCAAGTTTGTTTTTTAATGTCTAAATTTAGTTTTCCAAAAAAAAAATAATCAGTTATTAATTTTGAGGTCACATATCTTTTGCAGTCGTAAGTGTTAAAAATTTTTATTCTTTATCTTAAAGTAAATAATTCATATCTACAATTTTATTAAAGTTTAGTTCTTAAATAATTTAATACATATTGAATAGGTCAACGGAGATTGCAGTATGTTTAAGATAAGCTAAGATAACTTTATTCACCTCCGTTTTAAATTATGTTGAAAAATTGTTTAAAATCAATAAATACTTAATTAAAAAATCAAAAAGGTGTTAGAAAACTCGATTGCACATAATAACAATTATTTTAATATCACATAAAAACGTTCTTACAGAAAACTTAATTAATTGACTAAAATAAAATTTGTATATCAATAAATATAAAGTATACATACTAGTTTATTTTATAGTTTTTTATGTACTCTATTAAATCTCTTTTAGATTTTCGACATTTTATTTAAAATGTAAGAAACTGTGGATTTAATATTATTTAAATTGAGCTGATTGTATTGAATCTAGTTATTTATTTTAAAGTTGAAATGAGTAAAGAGAGAGATATATATGTTTACTTACTGTCTACAATGACAAGTAATTTAATTTCAGATCTTGCGTTAATATTCTGCAGAGTGATAAGAGTGATATCCTGCTGCAAGGCCAAGGTTCCTGTAAAGCTAACATTGACAAGATCTTTTTACTGATGGACTACGTCTAAAAATATAGCATAGTAACTTAAGTTAATTATACAACATTGTTGGGTGAATTGTATGTCATAATTCTGAAAAGGTTTTCATTTGGGTAGTGTCATATTACTGTAGTATATCAACTAAATCAACTATGTTGATATCAACTATGTTGATATCAACTATGTTCTATTTTGAATTAATTAACTTTTTCCCTTATCACCAGGTCTAGTGACCGAGTAAATCTTTTTAGCAAATGTGGAGATTTTTTTGTCGTAAAAGAATATTTTAAATATCTTGACAGAATGCAGTATTTAAATGGATTAAAGGAAGTTAGGACATCGTTAAATAAAATATGTCAATTTGAGAGTAGAATATGTCCAACAAAAAACAATACAAAAGAAGTGATTTCGAACATTCCTTATGGGTATGAACTTTTTTTTTGAGATAATACACGATTTTAAAGATTATAATTAATGATATTTTAGTAAAAATTTGACTGTATTTCACACGAAAAATAATATTTGCTAATGACCATCTATTCATTGCATAAATACTTCAAAAATAAGTAAATCATTTATGTTAGGAAAAAGCAAATATATTCAACGTGGTTAATAAAATTAAACAAATCAGTATCCTACAGGATATTAAAAGCGAAA